ACATATATATATATATACATCCACATATGTTTGCAACGTACACACATGTATATATCTCTATATACATATGTATGTATACATACATACATTTATATATAAGTATATATGGGTTCGTTGTCATCGTACTTCACGGGGGGAGGGAGGGATCACATACTTAGTTGCGAGTTTACTTGCATATATATTTTGTGGAGGGCCTCCCAAGCCGAGGCTGGCGCAGGAGGACGAGCACCTGCCGCCCTTGGCCTCGCTGCTGGAGCGCGCCGGGGGCCCACGCAGCGTGGGACTTCATGCCTGGCGCCCTGGCGACGGTCAGATGCAATCGCGTGTTGCGTTGGGGCCCTTCTTCACAGATTCCCTTTTCTTTTTTGGCGGTTTTTAGTTGCGTTGCATGTCAGGCTCCCTGGGGCCCTGCAAGCCCGTGCAAGAATGGATTTTGGAACGCTGTGGCAAAAAAAGAACTCGGGACATCTGCCCACTTGGCTCTGCGGCAGTGACCAGTATCGCGACTTGCCATCACGGCAAACTCACCTTACGGTGAGTGGGGGTTTGGGATGCCTTTTTGATCTTTTGGGCATACCCCAACCTTCCTCATATATCTTCATTTTCAGAAGGTATGTCGGAGGGTTTCTGTTTCTGTTGGTTTCCAGGCATCACTTTGTGTTTTTAGGGTTTGGGGGGTGGCCCTCTCTTAAAGTCAAACTTTTAGCGAGATCTGAGGGCAACCCAGTTTTGGAGGGAGATTTGGTGAGGGGCAAAAGCTGAGGTAGCTTGGGAGGCAATGAGAGTTGTTCCCCCAATTCAGTGGTTCAGTGGCACAGCTTCACAGTTACGTGCATGTCCTCTAGTCTCTTTTAGCTTTTGTGGTTCTGTTCATTGCTACTGGGGGCTGCAAAAACACCCAAAGTTGCTTGCTGCCATGCCAAGGTTTGGGAGGGAGGTTGCAGCTATAGCCATTGACCGGCCAGTTGCGTGGATTTAATCAGTTGGAATTATCTTCATGGCTGGGGGTTCAACAGGCTGTGGGTTGCCGGGGGAACCTGAATGGGCAAACGATAGCGACTTCAGGGGATTTTGCGACCACCCAGGACAAAGCGGATCAGAGAGCCCTTTGTCGTTTGATGACGTGTCACTTTCCCGTTGTCGGGGCCTCTGGCCAAATTGATCGGAACTCAACTAGATTGGGTAAATGCTACTCGGATTTGCGGAATTCGAATATCAGCTGAAGAAAATGGACTCTTCCTGCACTGGCAGCATCCTCAGCCCTCAGTCCACACTTAAAGTTACATTATACTTAGTGGGTGATAGCCATGGTTATAGCCCACACAGGCCCTGGTTTCGCGTCTCCTTTCCGGGGGTTCTAGTTGGGTTCACCCTCACCACTCACCTGACGTAGCCCAAATCCCTCCATCGCTGTAAGTCAGGTACCGGCACAGCGGAGCAGACGCCTGGGCCTCCTTCAAGGCTGTGGGCCGGATGCAAAAATGGGACCCGCCCAAAATACCTGAGTCTGTTTTGTTTGGGGCTGCCTTTTTGGTGGTTTGCAAGGGGCACCAGCAAAAAGACAACCACCAAATTTGGGGGTCCCTAAAAGAAGACAAGCCCAAATGGTTTCAATAGAACAAGAACAAGCCAGCAATCAGAAGAACAAGAAACCAACAGGACATGTTGGCTTGCCTGGAAATCAACTCCCTTTTTTGTGGTACCCTCAAAAAGACAGCACACACACAGAGAGCCATTTTGGGACGGAACTCAGGATATGATTGGCAGTTTACGTTTTGGTTTGGGTAGAACATGAGCGGACAGCCCAGGTTTCCGACACAAAAAGCGAGCACAAGGGGACAATCCAATCTTTGGATTGCGCCACCTTGCGGGTTTTTGGTTTGCGACCGATTTCACCTGTGATGATGGCTTTTGGATCAATTTCTGCCTTGGTGAAGGATGATGGTGTTACCACGGTCCAGACACTTGCTTCATCTTGGGTTGCTGTTCTGAGCCCAGGGTGGGACACACTGGTGTCATGTGGTGTCCATTTTAGGTCAGTTTTGTTGAAAATAGATGGCGCTTTCAGTTTGGTTCTGATGTTTGCGAGTGTCATTTTTTCTCCAGAAAAACATCTTTCTTTGTGAACGGGTTTGCAGTTTGCACACATGTGCAAAGCCACCCCTAAACCCACCAAACCCCGCATTTCTCCCCCCCCCTTCACCAAAAACACTGGCCTCCCTTTCACCTAAAACAAGCAAAATCACTGACACCGCCAAGAGGCGTTTCGACCACTCGCCAGGTCCTCGTGCAGTACCGTGGCGTGAAGCGCTGGTCCTTGGGCAGCAGTTCGCTCAGCTGGCCGCTGCGCAAGGTGCCGGCCCTGGCAGAGGCGGGAATTCCTTTCGCATGCTGGATGTACCCTCCCACCAACTCACAGGGTAAGGGCATTTAAAGACTGATTGGTGGTAGGTAGCTAGACACATATGGATAAGCTTTTATAAATATATATATATACATGTCCTAAAACCCCAGTCTTCAGTTTTAATCATCGCCGAACGGGGAGAAGTAAAAGTTGTCAAAAGCTGCGCGCGCAAGGAGCGCTCAAGCGGCCCAAGGGACGCGCAAGGTTACAGTTTTGAAGGGTTTCATGTACTGATGTTGCCTAGCTTCATGAAAGGAGGTGACATATATTTTACTGTACTTGTGTTTTTTCGAATGTTGGTTGGGTCACGTGCAGGCCACAGACTTGTTTGCAAAGGCGCGGCGTTCTCTTCAGTCAGACACCAAACGAAGCCAAAGCTTCTGCGGTCCTGACTTCAACAATCAGCAACTGACACGACAAAATCCGCGCAAGCGCTGCGCGCAAGTTGCGCGCAAGCACGAGAAGTCTCAGCAAGACATCTAGCCATTTGCTGTCTCGGACGTCCTTACCGGCGCAGTTCAAGCAGCGGATAGGCAGCCGAAACATGCACTTTCCTTCTTTCAGGCTGTGTCCAAGCTGTGTGGCAGAGCCTGCTGTCCTTTCCGTTGGGTCAAGAGTTGTTGCTGGCCTAGAATGGCTTGGAGCGACCTCAGCGGGAAGAGCCTTGGTGGGTTGTTGTGTGAACGACAAACACACTGCTTAGAAAAGCTTGAGCGCAATCCACACGAAAACTTCGCAAACCGAGGTCAACGAAACCCTTGGTTGATGAGCTGTGTTGCGCCTTGGATTTGCAGGGAAGCTTGCTTTCTTTGTTGTCTGAGATGATGCAACGGCCTGTCTTTGGTAGCCTTGTAGCATGCTACCGCTGGTATTGGAGGGGGGCCTTCAATTTCATGCAAAGTTCCGCTTCCTCTTTGTGGAGAAATGGAATTGGGACACACACACACACACCCTCCCCCTCCGACACTTCTGACCCTTTGTTGACTTTTGATTTCTCCCGAGGACTAGGCTAAACCCTGAAGACCTCGTTTTCGGCCCACAACCAGTGGCAACTGCATCAGGCCCCAGACGAGTGCTGGAGCAACGTGCCTGGGCAAGCAAGCTGGGGGCCCCTGAGCTTACCCACCAGAGGGCTGGATGCAGCTCCTTTACTTGCGGACCGCTTGGCTCACTTGTGATTTGGCCAGTTGACCAAATCCCAGGTAGTTAGTCTAATTATTTGTACTTTTGGGAGGCCGGGAAGGGGGACCAGCATGTCCTCTCAAACACGGCAACAGCCATTTGGCAATCGCGGCGTCAGCTCAACTCGCAACAGCGAACGTAGAGCTTACTGGACTTGGACAATTTGGATGGAGTGCCCGCCTCGTCCAAGAGGTACATGCCATCATTCCCGAAGCAAGAGCAGTAAAATTACATATGTGCAGAAGGGAAGACACCCAAAGCCTTGTCAGGCCCCTTCCAATGTTCCTCATGGTTCGATGGCTCGCCTTCAAGGGCCCAAGGGCCAACAAAATCCCAGAAGCTGATTCTCAGTCACTACAGGTTGCAGGGTTATTATTTTAAGACTGCCTTCTTGGAAGAGCAACTGGCCCTGAAAGTCTTGGACTTAAAGCCTCAGGTGGTGCACCCAACAAGTGGCTCACAACAAGGCCCTTTCCAATGCAGCTTTCGAGATTCTTTTCAGTTTGGGATCACGGGAAACCAAAAAGGAAGCCGACCGTTCTTGGCCCTTGACACGTAGTTTTGTAAAGATATAGGGCTCCAGTCAAAGGTGTCCCCACTGTTTCGGGTCCCGATTCTGGGCATGCCGACTCTTCAACGAGAAGACACAGGTGCGTCGGAGACGCCTGCGTGACCCATTTCTGGATTCTGATGAACTTCCCACGCGCTCACTGAAATTTTGTGCAAAACATGAATTTGGAAGAAATCCCAGGTTTGGATAGTTCTTGAAGGGAAACCGCAAGGAGAGTTTTCCCAATGGAGTGAACTGCCGATTCAAACACACATGCTCCTCGCCCTGTTTCTCCTTTCTTTTTGTCTTGCCTGCGATCCGACGCTTGCATGGCTTCCATGGAAGCGAGAATCAATACAGTCCAGATGCTGCGATTCAGGAATATAGTTGTTTTTCCTTTGCTGCTTGTTTTCTCGCCTGTTCCGACGCTTGCATGATTCTTCCGCCGGCGAGAGTCAATACAGTCCAACTGCCATTATGTGCGCATGTATGTGTTTATGCGATCCTACTTGTGTAAAACGATGCGCGTTCTGTCTATACGCGTTCTTTTGCAAACACAGGTGCACACCTATAAACAACCTGGGGCCTCAAACGGCTGCCGTTTTTTGGTTGCGGTACGGCGCGACCATTTGTTGCTCGTACGACCATTTTTTTGGAACGACCATTTTCTTTTCAAACGTGCTGAATGCCTGCCATGCATGCTGCTCAGGCAAGTGGACACTACGCAACTTACCTGCCAAGGCCTAACGAAGTCACAGGCTGTGAACATTGGTTTGTTTGAACCAAAGCATGTTTGACAAGAATTGAGTGTGCAGCATGCTGTGGCTACTGAAACGATCGTAATTTATCATGCTGCGACGGTGTTTGTTTTTTCATATGGCTGCTTTTCTTGCAATCAACGACCGTGTTTTGTTTGTTTTTGCTGTTAACCGCCCGTTTTGTTCTCGGACCACGACCTTTTTTCCTTACAACGACTGCATTTTTCTCATGCTGCGACCATTGTTGTGACGTGTTGCGACCGTATTTTTCCGTACAAAATCCGTACAAAATCCGTACAAACCCCGTACAACACCGTACAACACCGTACAAAACTGCGCTAAGCCGTATAACAGCACACAGAGCCGTATTTAAGCTCTGACACGCTATATCACAACGGTGTTGGGGGCTGCAGTTGCCATGATGATGATTTTTGGTCTAATGCGGGAAAATCATTTGTTCGTACCGCGCCCATTTTTTGTCGCGCGGCAAAACAAAAAAAAAGGTCTTTCGAACCGCGACCGAAAAAACGGCAGTCTTTTGAGTCCCCAGGAAGTATTTGTATACGCCTAGGTATTCATGGCTCGACTTTTACATTCACTTGTTCTATTCTTGCATACTTAAAGGGGCAGGGTACTTAGTAAGTGGTTGGTAAGCCTGGTTTACCCCACGGAGACTTACAATCATGGTAAGTGGGCCATAGCCATGGTTACCCACTTGCCTGACGTACCATGCCCCTTGAAGTAGGCCAGAGGCTCCATTCCCTTCTGGAGCCCAGGACCTGTCCAAGCCGGCCCTGGCTGCACTGGTGGCCCGGTCTGTGGACTTGGGGAGCTCCTTCCAGAAGCTTTTGGAGGACCTGCGGGCCATGCAGGAGGAGGGCTGTCAAGTGGTGGAGCGTCAAGTTGACCAAAGTTCGGCCGGGTTTGGGAAAGAAGCTGGAAGCAAGCCTTTGGGCTTGAAACAAATGAAGCCGAGTCAGACAATGGGAAACCATTGCAGCCGAGGGACGAGTGAAAGGACACTGGCACTTTTTCGCATTGAACCTGAGACATGGGTGGGGTGAGGAAGCCCCAACGAAGAACCGGGTGTCCTTTTGTCTCAATTTGGCCCAATTTGGCCTCAAAGGCCGGGGCCCAAAGGGACGGTTTCTTTTCATTGAAACCAAAACTCCACTGAAGGCCGCTAGACAAAAGCCCCTCAATGGGATCCGGATCCCATTGAGATGGTTTGAACAAAGGGGCCAAGAGCCAGACGGACACTTTTTCGTGGGGATTTCAGAACTCGCGACGAATTCCAGATAAGCTGCTTGTTCGGAATTGGACACGGCCTTGCAATCTGGGTCATTCTTGCCAGAAGAACACCCCATGCCTGTTGATTGAAACTGCCCGCCCCATTCCATTTAATGGTTGCAGTCCATGTAGGAACCCGCTGGAACTCGTGCATGAGGGAGACACATGATTGAATACACCGGTAGGAGGTGACTGCATGGATGGATTGATTGGGCATGCTCTACAATCTTTATTGGTCACGTTCGCGTCTTTCTGGGAATTGGCCGCATGATTAAGCAAACCGTCATGAAACCATGTGTCCCATGCGCGATGGAAAACAAAACAACACTATGTTGCTTCATCTCGCTAGCCCACTTCACAATCTCATTGGATCTGTATCATGGCTGAGCTCCGGCCATGCAATCAGCATTGCTGGTGTCTCTCGCTCTCTCTCCCTCTCTCCCTCGCTCTCTCTCTCTCTCTCTCTCTCTCTCTCTCCCTCTCTCCTCAGGAAACTGGTGCTATGAGGCTATGAGGAAACTGCTGAAACCTCAGGAAGTCGAGCACAGACTCGTGGAAGAATCAGCCCAATGCTTTCCGTTTCTCAGACATCCGCGTGGCTCCCCTCTTCTCCGAGAGACTATTGCCAAGTTTCAGGAGTCCTGCTCGGGTTTTGATTCACCAGCTGCTCACCTCAGATTTCTTCCTCAAAAGTTTTCTTCCGGAAGCTCAATGAACAATTGAACCGGTCGGTTCCTTTTGCTTCAGTTCCACCCCCGGGCGCGCGTGACGCGCGTTACGCGCGCGCCCCATTGACCGAGCGAGGCGGCGGAGCTCCAATACGCCTGGCAGCGCCAAGCGTACCGGGACCTGCACTTGGCCCAGCTGTTGGCGGACTACTGGCTGCCGCGTCCTCAGGGATTTTCTGGCTGTTGGGCAACACCCAAAATGGGTCACAGGTGTTTTTGGGAGCGGCCTCAGGGCCTGACTTAAGCCAAAACCACACATGTTTTTGGGAAGAGCACTCGGATGGGCGAAAAGAGCAAATGATAAGCTCATGTCCTGAGTTCCTGCACTTTAAGCTTTTTGGGGAGACCGTTTTAGTGGCAAAAACTATGTTTGGACTTTGTCTGCTGGGTGGAAGCAAAGTGATACTCATGGTCAGCATTTCTAGTTCGGTTCCACTTGGGCAGACATAAGGAACTTAATTGGCTTCGCACAGACAAAAAGCAGGGGGCTCGCAAGTTTCCCGATGTCCTCTTGAGGGACCAAGTGATTTTGCCCGTTCAGATGCTTCATGCTGCAGGCAACGGGGGTGGGGTATTTTCGTTGCTCCTCCCCGGTACCCTCCCACCAATCAACCTGGAACCTTACAGGGGGCGCCTTTAAAAGGAAAACGATCTTCGGGAACCACATGTCAGGTTCCATGTTAGTTGGTGGGAGGGTGCAAAGGGAATCGTTGAATGCACGGAGGATGTTCCCCACGGTTTTTGCCAAGGGGTGGGGATACTTTGCCACAGGCCAACGAGCAGAGCCAACTGGAGGTGTGCAAGCACTAGCCAGGTAAGTGAATTTGCCTCACTTAAAGGGCAGGGTACTCAGTAAGTGGTTAGTTAGCCTGGCTACAACCCACTTAGAAGACTTATGACCATGAAAAGTGAATAATAGCCAGGCGTACTAACCACTTACTAAGCACCCTGCCCATTTAAGTATCCGGCATCAAACCAGGAATTCGGCACCACAAGAGCCTTAGCTTCCTTCCAACTCTGACAAATTGAAATTAGAGATCTGCGGCTAAAGACAATAGGTGGCAATGAAGGAGCTGATGGAGTCCACTAATTCCAAATACTCGGCAAGAGCACCCCTCCCATTTTGCCCCAAACAGCCATGACAAATTTGATCGGCAGCCAAGCTCCAACACATCAAACGCACTCACCGGGGAATCAGCTTCCCGATCGGACCAGTTTTCAGGGCTATCCAGAAAAAGGCACGGGAATTCCGATTTTCGGTACAAGCGGATGGCCGTGTCGAATCAAAGGCACACCCAAAGGTGACATCACAACCTGGCGGTTCTTTCCACATTTTTCAAGAAGACCTTGGCCTCCCGTGAAAAGTATAAGAAATGATGGACCTTTTCTCCAAGACCTGCTTCCCAAGTGGGAGGTACCCCAAGAGATGCGGACCTTTTCTCCATCCTGGCGCCCGGGAATCGGGGAAGGCCACTGGCACGTCAGGTACTTTGCCCGCGCGGGTCCCCGGGAGAGCTGCCTGGCGCCTTCGGCCGACCTGCGCGCGGCCTGGCTTCAGCAGGTGCGCTCCGTGGCAGTGGCGCGGCGGCTGCCGGAAATGCGCCCGGGCAAAGCATGGCCGAAGGGTGGGGGGCAAAATTTCCGGGCCAAGACGTGGTCGAGGAGGCGCTTTTTGGCTGGAAGACGCTTTTTTAGGGTCCCCTAAAAAAAGAGGCAACTTTTAGGGACCATAATCTTTGCCTGAAAGTGAACAAGGAACATATTTAAATCCTGCAGGGTTGAACGTTGACCAATTGATTTTCAGTCAGGTTTTAGCTCCTACACTCACAGTCACGTGGAACCCACAAGAACAAATGCCTCTTTTCGGGCAACTTGTGGCCGCTGGGCAACGGCCCCTTTTTGGCTTCGAATGCATTTGCTGTTTGTTTTGCTTCCTGTTGGTTTTGAAGGGTTGAAGCACTGCACATATTGCTTCCCAGGGGACTTGGGCAAATGGAACTATGTGTTAAAGCGTTTGAAAAAAGCAGCGCGGGGGCTCCACTTTGCCATAGTGCCAGCTTTTGGTTGCGGCTGATAATCTTTGCGGGCTTGACGTTGGTTGAAGTCAAGATTGGGCGTCTCTCGATCCGTAGGGCAGCAGTGTCTTCTGGGCATATCCCCCTAGCTGGCCTCCCTTCACACCCAACGGTGTGAAATGCTTTGTGGCAAGCCTGCTTCCTCTGCTTAGGCATGGCGAGGTCATGTTCAACCGGGTTTTCTCCGCGCTCGCTGGCAACCACACGCCTCCAGCAGAGCCCTATGAATGCCTGGTGTCACAGATGATCGCCAGCTTTTGTTGAGACGGCCGCGATCCGATGCTCGGCCAGACCCACCGACCAGACCCACCGACCCACCTCACGACACGGCCTTCTCCAAGCTTCGGCTTTGGAGCAGCAGACGGAAGGAGACGCCACGAGGCGTGAAGAATCGGCCGTCTGGTGAAGAGCCCCCAGGTCTGTTTGGATTCAGCGGCGCCCTCGACGACTCGGAGCCTCGGAACTCAACTCGCGCAATGGAGGGCAAAGGGGGGCAAGTGATCCAGCTGGCGCAGAAAGAAGAAAAGCGGGGTGCGGTATGTGCTAATGCCTGCAAACCTTTCATGTCAAAGGAGCCTCACCATAGCTCGTTTGTTTGTTGTTTGATCAAATGGGGGTAACCAACTAATCATCAGGTAGCCCGTAATTGGTGGGTTGGATTGGTGGTTTGGAGATTTGACTCCCTGGTTCTTGTAGCCCTTTGACAAAGAGACCTTTGATTCGGGGGCCTTGCGAGACCTCCCAACCTGCGATAGTTGGCAGGTTCGAGGCCCGTGCGCGCACATTCTTCGTAGGGCAGCCAGCTGTTGCAGCGGAAGATGTCCCCAGCAAATAGACATGCAGGAAGCCATTGGAATTTCATGGGCCCCCCCCCCATGCACACGAAGAGAAAGTTGGGCTGTCAACCGCTCCAGAGGAATATGCAAAGCGCACCCAGCGCCATGTGCCAAAGGCCCCAAGCAATGCATCTGAAGCTTCCACCCATCGGCTGAAGTCGGCTCTTCTCATTTGTTCAAAACCGACCTTTGGACTTTTTTGGTTTTCCCATTTTGGACCATATTTAGTCATGGCCCTAAAGGGTTAACCTTTTAGTCCCAGGTCTTTTGGGCAAGTGAGTCTTTGCTTCCATCTCACATCCCTTTGTTTTTTGCTTTGGCCTCTCGTCGCAGCTGGCTCGGAGAGAGTTCCCCGCCTTCGCTCCGTGACATGGCGCGCGGTGCATGCGGTGCGGCCCTGGCGGTCGTGGCCTTGGCGGCCTGGAAACTCATCCGGACTTAAGGTGGCTCTTCTTCGGTGTGTCGGGATCGCAGGTTGCGGTCAACGCAAAACCTACAGAAGGTGATTAGACCTTTCTTTGGAACCCTGTTCGACTGGGTCCATTGAGGTGAGCATTTGGGGGGGGTGTGGCAATCTAGAAATCGTATCTTTGATGATGTCACTTGAGTGAGGCAGCCCTTTTGACAATTTGACAGAGGAAAACCTTTCCTTTGTTGCTGCTGGGTGTTGAAACGAGTTGCCATTGACTGTTGCTCTGTGCCGGATGATAGTAGTTTCTAAATCAATCCTGAATCCTTAGGCTTGATGATAGTAGTTTGCCTTGTGTTGGTGTCCCACTACGGGTTACACTTACCCATTAGGAAAGTCGGGATTCCTTCATGTACAACAACACCGAGCAACTGTAGGGGGTCTATTTTCTGGCTCAATGGGGATTTTAGTGCGGCCTAAATATGAGGGTGTCTTGTCTTGGGTATGTTTTGGGGGGTCAAGGAAAGCAAAAGGACACACCATCATTTTAGGATCCTCCATGTTGGCACTATCTCCCGTCCCGAGTTCCTGGATCAAAGTTTTCAGAACGACCATTTCAGCGGTAAATAGATAATAAGAGTGTTGGCTTTTTTTTGGCCAATCCGCTCGATCGGAAGTGAGCTGTGCGATTTTGCTGCCACGATACTCGGTGACCTTCACGAGGAACCTGGCCTTCACACCCTTCGCGGGCCAGCGCGGCGCAACCGCGCCCAGGAGCCCGAGCGAGATCTCGGATCTCGGATCGCGTTTGTTTCGCGCGCGCGCGCGCGCGTTGTGTCGGCGGGTGGGTGTTTTTTTGGGGTCCAGGTAACCCCTGTCTTTTTTTGGTTTGGTGCCCTGTTTCTGTAGGATTTGTACCGGACGCTGTGGTCGAGTTTCCGGTTGGGGCGAGGTATTGGCAAGGTTGATGAGGAGGCCAGCGTCGCGACAGGATGCCTGAATTTTGACTCGTTGGGATGGATGACAATTGCTTCGGCGTGAGGTCTTCGAGATGCTCTGGCTGGCATTCTGTCATGAAATTCGCAATTCAACCCCCCCTCCCCCAACTTCGCAATTCAACCCCCCTCCCCCAACTTCCCTAAACCCCAGTGCATCCGGTTGCTCCAAACAGGGCTTCAATGAGGCCTTATGAGGGCCTTTGGAGAAACAGTGGATGGCTCGCTTCTTGTGTTGTGGGCGGCATTTGCACGAAGAACTTTTTGCCATGTTGGACATCCATCCATGAAACTCTTGGCACCTAGCATCACCTCCAAGAGGAAAGTAAATTAAAGATGTTGCCAACAAGTAAATGTATGAGAACCCTCACCTTCCCTCCCACAAACTTGGCACCTGGCAGGTTGGCAGGTCCCTTCAAGAGAGAATCAGTTTTCAGGTACCATTCAGGTGCCTTTGGTCAGAATAATTTGCGGCCGTTGGCACAGGAGCAGCCTCACACAGCGCCGCGCAGATGCGTCCATGCTCCGGCCTTATGGGCCGGTGGTGACCTACGGCCAGGCCGGGCCCGGCTCAGCGGGCTTAGCTAGCTGGGGAGAGGGGATGGGCAGCTCAGAGAGCTTGTCAGAAGAAGCTAGGCCCTGGCAAATGTCACCAGAGATGCGAAAATTCAAGACGAACATCTGCTGTTCTCCAGGGTGTCCTATATTCTTGTCCCCTCCCATCACACCACCAGAGGGAAATTACAATTTAGCCCAAAAGCTGATGTTTAAAACCACCAGGCAGGGGAAATATCTTCAAGCGGGGGAGTCCATGGCAGCTTCCCCTGGCTTCCGCAGACCTGGGCTGAGCCGAAAATAGCCTGAGGCGCTCCCCTCTTGCCCCACCCAGCAATGTTCCTGTTTGCAATGCACCCCCAACCCAATAGAGGCTAGCAACTGAGAAGGATTCGGGTTTGTTGCGGCTCCTTTTTTGGGAGGTCCCCTCTTTGCGCTCTTTGGGGGCCCTAGCAACCACGGGTCATGGGGCCATGGATCGCTTGAGGCGCTCATGGATGCGGCCAAGGAGAAGGGTGAGCAGGTGGCAGTGACTGAGGACTTTTTGGCTGCGCCCTCGCAGCCAACCATCGCTTGGCCCAAACGAAGTGAAGGCCATCTGCCAAACTTATAGGTTGTCAACTTTTTGATGTGCCCCATATACGAACTAGACTAATCCTGTCAAGCCTTTGCAGTTGAACCAGTTTGACCCAAAGGTGCTTGAGTTGAGGCTGCCTTTTCCTCGCGCCAAGAGTAGACACTCTTACCTGCATGACCCGTCACAGGTGACAAGCAACTGAGGACAAGACTTGTGCTGCCTCTTGGTCCTCACCATTGCCCTCCAAATCCTAGTTTTTTTCGGGGCACACTCACCAAAGTAGCAGGACATGAGTGATGCCCACCAAACTCCCTGTGACCGAACCCAGGGACCAATCAAGGCAAGCGTGCGCAATGGCTGCCGTGTTGCTTGCAATCCACTTGTTTGCAGAAATTGAACGGAATGGCTATTCTGCGGGCAAACATGGTCCTTTCGATGGGTCTTATTATACGACTTGTCTACGGTTTATCTACGGTTTGGTTGTGATCAGAGGTTTCCCCGGATTGTGCCCGAGGGTGCTGGTTTGTCGCTCTTGTGTGAAGACACCAAGTTGTCGGCACCGGAGCTGGCTTTGTTGGCCGGCAGGATGAATCAACCCAGGGATCAGGTCAAGTGTTTAATTACATGGTCGAGGAAGACCAGGATACTGTGGATTGGTTGACCGGCCCTTGTCGAGCAATGTAGAAAAGCGCTACTTTGTGGGCATGTTGCTGATCATGTTCCAGGCACGTTCTGCATGCGCAGCTTTGATTGAGCCACAGTGCGCCACAAGCTGCCATCAACATGAAGCTTGCCAGCACAAGGCCCAGTTCGCAAGGTGCACTGTAGGCTGCCTTCGCAGGTGCTTCGATGCAAACATTCCTTGTGACTAAGTGGGCAAAGACCTCCAACTGTGCTTGATTGGATTGTTGCTGTTCTCCATCCGGCACCCCTCGCCCTACATGGGGCATACCCAAAAGGGGAACAGTTGGTTGGGCCAGTTTCTGCGATACCAAGGACTAGGGTATCCCCTTAAAGTGAGCAAGCCTTGGGAATCAACAACTTTGCTATCACAAGGGTTTTGCCATGCCCAAAACTAAGGGGTCATGGCCCCGTGTTTCAAGGGTCCGGGAGGCTCTGGGTACTTGTGTTCGGACTCAATCCCGGGATCTGCAGGATGCCCTGAAGATCAAGAAGATGTTCTACGACGAGGACTTCCTCGGAAAGCTGGTGAAGATTCAGAACAAGCCGGAATACACGAACGTCGTGCCTTGGGCCCGGCTCGTTTGTTCAGACAAGAGGCCTTCCTTGGCTTCCAGCTATAGGCTTCCTGGGACTTTTGGTTTCGTGGAATCAAGGTGAGAACCACTTTTGTGATACTCATGGATTCTCCCCCTTATTGGAGGGTCGTCTTTGGGAAGCCCTTTTTTGGGGGGGGGTTGGGGGGTTGGGGAGGAAACCATGAATGATGCCGCTTTCCAAACAGGGGATCTGGAAAATGGAGCGGCAATCCATGCCTTTCCTTTGGGCGAAAGGTCCACAAAGGTTACGCTACCCGGTTCGCATAAAACAACTTCGAGGGGCAACACACCACTGGGGGAAAACGCCACACGGTCCAAACAGTGCCTGAGCCACTTGCTGGTTCTGAGGAAGGAGTGAGGGAATGTCCCCAAGTAAAAACACCAGAAAGGCAACATGGTCACTCACTGAATATGTTTGGGAGGGGTTGTTTTAAAGGGCGAGGGTAACCGCCCTTTTTGTGGGTTCGCTCGCCCCATTGTGGAGACAAAGCTCTCTCTCTCTCTCTCTATAGATTTGCCCCGTCGGAACATCTCCCCACCCCCAGACAAAACTCGCTTTTTGTGTACTACAAATAGGTGGGAAGCAAACTGCCGGTCCCATCACCACCAAAGCGACGCTCGCTTGCCATCGACAACCCAAATCGTCTTCAAAATTATATACTGACAAGGCAACACGCACACACACACACACAACAAAAAAAACAGGGAAACACAACAAAACGGGGAAAAAAGGGGGAGAAGAAAACACACACGTTTGCTTTGGGGGCATCCTCAACTGCAACTTGAGGAATTTTAGGTAAACATTGGAGGTCGTCCCACGGAGGCCCCCCAAGATTCGGGCTTCAGCGGCCATAGAGACTCACAGGAAATGGCCGGAGAAAGTAGGTACACCTTTATATTGGCATCGAGTGTCACTTTGGATACCCCTAGCTTCTTGGCTACCTTCCAAGTGACCATTTCAACCACTGCTCTTTCGGGCTCAGAGTCATGCCCTCGTTGATCTTTGGGCAAGGGACCTTGAAGTAGGCTATGGGTTTCCCTTTGGTTGCCCTATGTTGCCCTTCAAATTGACCCGACCCCCCCAAACCCTATCTTTTGAGCTCCGATGAATTTTCCAGACCTCGGTTTGCCGAGGAGAAGGCGCAGCAGACCGTGGAGCTCCTGAAGCCGCTGAAGTCCACGGTGATGCCCAAGCCCCTCGGATCGCCGATCGCGTCGAGCGCCGCGTCGGCGCTCGACGCGGCGCGGCGGATGGGACTTTAGGTCCCCCGGCAATTGGTGCCGTCTTTTTGCCCGTTTCTTTTTTTGGTTGGGAGGGTTCCCCTACTAAAATAGACGAAACAGAAAAAAGGGGAGCCTTATGCTCACCTCTCTACTGGAGGATGTAGGGGAGGTTTGGATTGGTGGGAACAGGAGTTGGACGTGAGTCCCTGGAAGTGAGAACCATCGGCAAGATTCATTTTTAGTGAGGGGTTGTAAAATTTAGCGGTTTTTTCTGGCCACATACCAAAGGGTTTGTAAGAACTGGAGTTGGACTTGGATTTCTGGTTCTTGGATGTAATTGGGAAGCCACCAAAAGCCGCAGCACTCCAAACCAAGGGAACCCTCAGGGGCTTGGAGGGCTTTGTACGTCAGGTAAGTGGTGAGAGGAAGCCTGGTGAGCTAAGCAAAGACTTAGACCAATAACCATGGCTTATGGGGTCATAACAGTATAACGAGGCTTACTAGCCACTTACTAAGTACAAGCCCCTTGAAGCATGGAACCTCCAAAAGGCGATCGTTCAGAAGGTTCAAAACAAATTCGGGAAATCCAGTTTATACAATTGAAATCAGCTCAGTGCCCCAAACCCAATATCAACTTTTAGGTGGTTCACAACCTGCCGTTATGCGGTTTACAGAAAGGGTTTCTGAACCTTTACAACCAAGCATGCTGGTAGAACCAAACGTCCGTGGGTTTCGGGCGCTGCTCAGGATGTTGCTGTCTTTGCAAGTATCTGTTAAGAACCGGTGAGGAATCCTGTTTCCCCTCCTGTGTATGGAGAAATTCCACGTCAGGCAGCAGTTGGTGGTTTACCCCAGTGTTTATAGGGCTTCATCCGTCCCACACGGCACGGAGTTTTGTCCATCCACAGAAGGAAATAGAGACCTGAAGAGCCCGAGTATCCCCAGGCCTTGGTGGAAAGTTCGTAGTTTCAGGTCAACACTTTCTGTAGCAAAAACACACCTGAATCAAACACAAGATATATATATATATAGGGATTGCACACCTTGGTATTACCGATCTGGCGGTATCCTGCAGCCATGTGCTTGGCTCCCGGTATTTTTCACTTGTTGGGTGGTTATTTTGCCGTTTTTGTGGCCTATGACGTCACATATGAATGTGTTAGATATATTGTATATGATTCGCATGTGGGGCCGAAGGCTGTCTTTTGGCAGCCAGCAGAGACCAGTTGGGAGAACAGTTGTTGTTGTTGGTCCTGGTGCTGCTGCTGGTGCTGTTGTGATGGTGGTGGTACTGCTGGAGGAGGCTGGCTGGGGGCGGTGAATGACACTGAGAAAGCCGTTCTAAAGGTTCGTAGCCTTTAATTGATCATAAATCCGTGACCGACATTGAAGTTGACCCGATAAATGAACTCGCCAGACAATTCGAGAGGGTAAGTCCTGGTCCCCACTCAACAAAGTCCTCTGACTGGCGACTTGGACATTGAGTAGACGGGCAAATGTGCCCAACGGTTGTGACTCGGGTGAAACCATGGTTTCCGGTTGACTGGCAGAACGACGCTTTGTAGAGGGGGCTTCTTTGGTCAAGGTTCATAGTCTTCTTGGCCAAGAAGCGGCGATTGAAGGGCCTCAAGGCAGGCTGTCACTGCCAGCCGAAGGGATGTTGGGGCTGCGGCATCTTTGTGGCTTACATCCCAAGCTATAATTTGGAATCAGGCTGCTGAATGAAGACTTGCCATTGGCCCTGGCCCCTTCGACTAACCTCGTCCGTGTCTGGGGAGCAGTAGCACAGCTTGATCAACCCAGGTGGCCCGTTGAGCCCTTGATGGCAGAACCTGTGGTCAAAGGCCCCCTTGGAAGATGTGACTGAGTGGAGTATGGAGCCTAGCGCCTGATCATATCCGCTCTGATTTGTTTGTGCTTGGAGGGGCTTGTCCGACAGTTGCACCCAGGGAGAACAGCATGGATTCGTGCCTCGCACCATGGTTCACGCAGGCAACAAACGCGCAAGAACGTATGCCAGGGAACCTTTGGTGCCCCTACTTTCATGGTATGGAAGGGGCGCTGAATCCTTGCTGGACTCGCCTTTTTGCTTGAGACCGGCGTCCGTCGGGATGAGCAAATGAGCAGGGCATGGCCATGTTCACCACAAGCCAATCAGCAAGAAAAAACAATTGGAAGCTGCCAAAACTCATCGTTGTTTCTGTGCGGTTCATTGACCACTGGGCCCTTAATCTATATCATACGCACATGGACACGTCATATTGTGTTTGTATAGGACTCCTCTGATAGGCACATGCACGCGTGTTGTATTTGCAGCAGTCGTTCATTTCGGAACACTGGCGCACAAAAAAGCTCGCGACTCCGCTTTCTCCCTTCTCAACCAAGCTTTTTTGAAGTTTTTGTTGAACGCCCTGGTCACCATCCGGTCACCTGCCGACCGACACAACCGAGCGCGAGGTGATCATGTTCGAGTACGCGCAGAGCATGTACTTCCAGCAGTCCATCACTCCGGTGAAGGTGACCTCCGCGCAGCGCCTCTCAGAAGGGCAGCTCGAGAAGATCAAGGACTCGGAAGGCCAAGCGGACGGCTTGGTGCAAAACGGCGGGTAGCGAATCATCCGGTTCCCTTAGGGTGAAGGGTTTTAGCTGTTATTTTTATTTTGGGTTGGTTTAGTGGGGGTTTCCATTTAGTCCCTCTTTAGTTGTTTTAGTTGATTTAGTGGGGTTCCAGTTAGCCCACCAAAAGTTAAAGGAGGTGTGAGAACAGCCCATCAAACATTTGTCATGGATTTGTGGCGTAGGCGTAGCGTAGGCGTTTTTGTGGGCAGCGTTCATGTTTCCTGTAGGCGTCGCGTAAAGCAATTAGAATGACAAGACCCCACGCAACCAAGACAAGCACTTCCCCTTTTCCCTGTTTGTTCGGCAAGTTCACCACTGAAAATGCCCCCCCCGCCCCCAAACAACCCATCAAAAAAGAGTGAATGGGCAAATGTACATACTCTACTGTATCCCCCCTCCAAAACCTAGGTATATACATATACAGGTGTGTCTGCGTGATTGGTGCTGGTGCTGGTGTGGTCGTGGCTCTTTCTGTTCTTGCTATATAAACCCTTGGTGGGCAAATGTTAAATCGCATTGCTCACTTTGAAGCGAAAGCAGTGAGTTGGCACCTGCCTAGTCCCTGAGGAGAAGATGAAGGGCAAGGTCGGCACCACGGACGCGCCTCGAATCAAGTGGCAATCCAAGTGTCCACCATCGGCACGCGTCTACAAGTTGGACATTCCAGATGTTTGCTCATCAATTGAACTAATTCCTTGGCGTACAGGCTGCGATCATTGAGTTCGGTCTTGATGAATCCTTCACTTTGTTGAGGAAACACCTCCCAAAACAAGCCGCTAACTTGATTATATAATCCGGTCCGGCATCACTGACCGCAACTGCGCGGGGGAAGACGGTAAGACGGGTGCGCTAGGGCCGGTGTTCGTTGTTTGTTTGAGGTGAGGTTCGGTCAGAAAACCATGGTTGGTCCATTTGGGAAGGAAAATCGGCAAAACAGGGGACTGCTGCCCCAAAACCCCGGGTGGTTTTCTTCTGGCTTTCTTTCAAATCAACCAACCCTTGCAGTTGGGTGGTAGATGGCACAAATGTATACTATTTTGATTTTTGGTTTAGTCATCTCCCCCATCCACACACCGAGAATCGTGCCATCTACTTGGGCGTGCTTTTTTACAAGGGCTCTTCCCCCCCAAGAAACAGTCGGTTTCCCACGAAAGGGAGTACCAACTCCAAAAAAGACGAGGTTTCCTGTTGGTTTCCCTTTAGCCACACAAAATAGGGGGTACTTCAAGTGGCAGGGTACTTAGTAAGTGGTTAGTAAGCCTGGTTACAACCCACAAAAGCCATGGTCATACGTCTTCGTCCAGCGGGTTATGACCAGACTTACTAGCCACCTACATCACGTACCCTGCCTCGATCGCCCCTTTTAAGCACCAACTCCAAACAAGACGAGGTGTCCTGTAGGTTTCCTTTGAACCCCGCAGCATCCAGGGTAATGTCTAATGTTCACCCCGGATGAATAAACCCCTGGTTGAGAAAAAGGGGGGGGGTGTCCCCTTTTAGTGGGGATTCATCACTTTTGGAGGGAACACCCCCCTAACAAAAGGGACGGATGTATTCATCCTGGGTCAACATCACCCATTCCAGGAAAGACGGCGGCCAGGCCACGAGTTTTTTTGTTTTTTTGCGCGGGTCGGTTGGCTCAGGTGAAGCTGGTGCCGGAGGTGGACCCCACGCTCATCGGAGGCTTCACGCTGGAGTGGGGCTACACGGACCCCGTGAATTTGTACGCCCCCACACACGGGGTGGACATGTCTCTCAAGCAGCCGCCCGGACGAAAAGAAAACACCGGCCATGGATGGGGTCCTGAGGTTTCTAGGCGGGTGTTGTTTGGTGGTTTAGTGGTTGTTCCGTATTCAACCCGCTAGAAGTTGAACTTTTAGCAGCGGAGCTGAGGACAGCCCAGGGGTGCCGATTTTAATGGGGACCCGAAATGGTGGACATGTGTTTTTCTTATTCGGGATTCATGTCCACCACATCCTGAAGCCGTTCCCTATGAAATAATGGCCATGTCATTTGGGGAAGACACCTGTCAACGAGCGGTGTTTTTTAAGCTTACCAACTAAACAGGTAAGAACAATGCCAGGCGATATCCCCAGCAACCCCCCGTTGCATCTGAGAATGCCGGAAGCGGGCTCAGGACCACTAGCCTACGGCCCCCCGGGCAAAGACCCCAAAGCGGTCAGCTATTGGGGAACAACAACATACTGTTGTTCTTGGGTAACAAAGCTAAAGCAAACAAACAAGATGCGTTTAGGGGCAAGAGGTTGAAGATGCAGATAACCTGGAGGGACTTAGCTACTTGTTTTGCCCTTGTGCCGGTTTGCCCTTTTAGGTTTCCTCCATGTTCGCTTTCACCAAGCAACCCTGAACTTGCAGGGGGTCTCATCTAAATTTGGCCCAAAGGGTTAAGGCCACACGCCCGTAACAGGTAAGGGGCGCCCTTCGCAAAAAGCGCTCCGCAAACTCGGGGGACTGCGAGACATGTTGTTCAAGTGAGCGAGAATGGTGCTCATACAACTTGCTGAACTTGTTATTCGAATTGTCCAAGTGGTTGCATGTCTGGAAGCGGATGCAGATGAATGCGAGCTTCTTACAATTGAGCCATGCATTGCGAGATATGTGTTGGCCCTGGCTGCGCAGAACAATAATCGCTCCTGCCAAGTACCTTTGGAGGGCGCTGTCGTTCCATGTTGCGTGAGAAGTTCCTATGCCTGTGGACGGAAAGGTCAATTTTTACTCAGTTGCGATATTCAATTGGTTTCGTCTTGAGATGTTTCAGTTGTCAAACTCAGCCGGGGTTGATTGCTGGTTGCTTTTGCGGACAGGGCAATGATCTTTGGGCAGGTGTTGACGCGACAGAATGAGATTTCAGGGAAGGCGGTTTCAATCTGACCATAGATCAGCTCAATGTCTTTTCTCTCGAGGGCTTGTAGCGTTTGGGGTCTAAACCCGCCCCACCCCCTAGCCTGGCCTCTTCTCAGGATCCTGTCGAAGAGGGCCCTGCGGAAGGGTGTGGTGATGGCTGCCTGAGCTGGGAATCTCTCGGTTGCCCAAGGGGCAACCAGGGGGTGGGTGTTTTTGAGATATGCGACCTGTGGTGCCCAAGCAGTGCCGCCACACGACAGCTCCAGTGCAATCCACATGTCAAGCCCTGTCAAAAGGCTTCAGCTGTTGACGACACAACTTAACGGTTTCAGAGCGATAGTCTAGGGTGAAGAAGCTGGGCACATGCTTGGGCCAGCTTTTTCCGCGCTTTGAAATAAAGCGACTTGGCTGCATCCCTGGCTCTCGGCAATGGAGGGGCTGTGTGATATGTTTGGGTCCGAGCTGCGAGGGATGCTCGGTTGCTGAGCCGGGGGAGTTGCATTTAGCTCTTGGTGCCACGACCAAGGAACTCTAATCAAAGGAAACCGGACTTTGCAACGATGCAAGGAGCTGGCAGGCGAGTTGTCTTGCAGTGTTGGTCATGAGCAGCTCAGCAGCCGAGCCTACGGGCAAGTTGAGAACACGGCATGGCTGTGAAAAATGCCTCGGGCGCCTGCTAGAAGGCTTGCATCTTTCTTTCGAGTAAGATGCAGGAGGTGGCGACGGAAGTTTGTGATTTTGAGATATCTCAAGATGCACCCGCCGATTTCCATGAGCATGTTCCAGCTATGATTGATGGATGCAGTTAGCCTCTCTGCTCAACGGCTTCTACTGGTATGCTGAATGAATCAAGCCCTGTCATAGAGTATACTTTGATACCTTCTACGAATGGTGCCTTGCAGGGTACCTGTCAAAGCCCCGGGACATTTCGCACGCGTGTTGCGCAGCACGCCGTGGTCTTTGCACCCATCCAAGGTGCAACAACTCACTAGCATCCCCCGGAGCAACACCGGGAAAGGGGGGGTGGTCAAACGGCAATGCTTACATTGGCTTGCAATACCTTGCGTGCGCACGTGCCTTGATGCCATGCTTGGGCCTCAATCGTTTAATCTTCCTACCGCATGGGGATCGCTGGCTTGGTGGGGACCCTTCAGAAGGCACTGATATCCGAGACTGGCAGAAGATTCATAGAGGGTCAACTGAAATTGGATCCTGTTGGCTGGTGCATGTTTTTGAGCTGGTTGCATTCTCAGTAATAGCTTTGTCGGTGCCCTTTTTAGGTTTGGCCAGGGAAGCCCCACAGAAAACCTCCCCAGGCGAATGGAATTGAACCTTCTATGGATAGGGCAATTCCTTTCGAGGCGCCGCGTGCCACCTTCGCGACTTCCAGGCTGCCACCTTCGCGACTTCCAGGCTGCAAAGGGAAACTAAAACAGGGCGTGTTAAACAAGGTCACAAAAACGCGCTTTATGGACCAACAAGCGCCAAAAAGCGCTTGTTGAAAAAGACCTCCCCAACTCAAGCGGCTTTCGCTGCTGAAAAAGCAAGTGCATGTTTGACCACAGCTTGCCACAATTTCTGCGCCACATCCTTTGGTACCCGTTGCATTTTGCCCGAAGGCACACTTTTTTATTGTTTGGTTAGATTGCCTTTTGGGCTTTCCTGGATCATACGCTTGGGGGAGAGCGATACCTACGAAGAGGACTTGTCTAGAGCAGGCTGGTGAAAAGGCAGCGTCGTCTCTCAAATTTGATTTGAACGAGAGGTTGCACCGGTTTCCTGCTGGTACACACCATCCTTAAAAGGTTGGTTATGTGGTTGTTCAGTTCAAGGACGCCGGGTGCCGATTGAAGTCTTAGGTGGTGACACCATGAAGTTTCCTTGGGCAGATTGCATTTAAACCCTCCCAAAAGCCCTTGGAAGGATCATAGGCCCCAGAAGCATCTGGTTCAGAACCTCGTTCAGCCACACCGATACCTTTGCGCCTTGGGAAGGTAGGTCTGTTTCTTCAAAGTTCGCTTTGGATTCAGGTCAGTTTCGTCAACCCAAGTGGGACCTTTGTGAAAGAGATGGCAACAGCAGCTTCCGCGTGGCCGCTGGGGATGCGCTGCCTCTCAGGCCGCGACGCCGACAGCCCGACAGCTGCCCACGTGAAGTCGAAAATGGGGGGCGGGGGGGGGGGGGGGCCGCTTGAGGCCAGTCGGGCATGTATCACCGCGTGCCTTATGCCCACGAATTTTGAGGGTATGGGTCAAAATTGGACCATCAGAAAACCGGAGGTTTGAGTCCTTGGTTCCATTTACCAGGGCTCCATTTTGGGCACATTTTTGACCCACAGCCATATGGAACCGCCTCACAAATGGTTGGTGGAAATGAATCTTTCCGCCTAAATGACGCAAGCCTAAAAGGATTCTCAATTAAAAACATCGGTCCAGGTTGTTCCGTAGTTTGAGCAACCAGCACCCACCCCTCAGGCCTTGCCTCCAAGTTTCAAGAGCTGCTTTTGCGGGCTCTAAGTTGCGTGCTGCGTTTGGCTTTGGCTGGGAGCCAACAGGAAGTGTGAGGCAGACTGGCATGGATTTTCTCCAGGAACAGGGCCTATCTCGACTATGCAAACAGTTGGCTCCTTGTTGGTAGTGCGGCGGAAGCCGTACCTTGCCCCCGTCAAACCTGCCAGTTCTCATGGTGGGCTAGCAGGCCATTGCTTCACCGCCTCAGATCATCGTTTCTCAGTCGTCTGAGGCCCTGAAGACGGCGACACCCGGCATGTGTTGGAGGAAGAAGCACCATACGGGTATTCTGCTCAGCTGGCTTGGGGGGAGCAAGCCAGCGCAAAAGTAGACATACACCTAGTCGCAATTTGTGCCCCACAATGGCAACCTGCGACCATTTCGCGTTGGCAACATGCTGACATCATGCTGACCCTTTCCTTGCCACTTTGACACACACCGGACTGAAGGCCTTGGCAGCCACGTTGCAGTTGGCACCTTTGAACTGCCAACCTGGGGCGTTTTCGTCTTGTGTTTTGATTGTTGAGCTTTGGCGGGCCTTCAGAGCTGCTCATGGCTGCGATGCTTGATCCAACCTTCTGTCACCGAGACTTGTTGTTCTGTTGGGGGGATGGGTGTTAAAAAGGAGCTACAAAGCAACTGGCTTCTTGCATACTTACACGGCTTGCTTCAAGCTTGCTCATTTCGCCATGTGTGTTGTGCGCCTTCCCTTTAGTTGGGAGGTGGGATTGGCGGTCTGGGATATTTCAATTGGGGAAGGTAAACCACCAAACCACACCACCAATTCATGTTGACCCCGGATTAATGAACCCCAGTTTATTAATGTGGGGGTGTTCTCCCCAATAGTGATGACTCCCCACTAAACCCAGGCACACCCCCTCCCCCGCTCTAAATAAGCTGGGGTTGATTAATATGGGTTAAGATTAGGGGGAAGCTGATCTATGGTTGGCTTCCCGACTCTGCGTTCCCAAAGTCCTTTCCTTCGGAACCTGCCAGATGCCCTTGGTGCCAGTGGATGCTTTGCTTCTCAGCCGGGCGCCCCTGGAGGTTGCAGAAGGAGCAGTGCCCCCAAAGAGGCCTATCCCTTGTTAGCTTCTTAATAAGGTCTTATCAGGGGCGTATCCTGGAGGGGAGTATTAGTTTTGTTGGGTGTTCTGGTTCTGTATCTTTCTGGTGGAGGCAAATGTTGCATTCCAGGACGCAGTCCTTTGCTCACATTGCCGGTCAGGAAGTATAGGCTCTGAGTGGTTCAGAGATGTGTTGCTTCGAATCCAGGTTCATGAACGTTTCTTGATATTTACGTTGGAGGGCTTGAATCCCTTGAGTTTCTCAGGTGGTGGGAAACGGATTTGGTCCATCAACCTGTTTGGGCCAGAATTCGTACCGCTCCTTTCTTCAAAAATAACACGGGCGCCCGCCACTCGTGCAAAATGACATCGTCTGAACGGGTTCATCTACCGTCCAGTCCACTAACATGGAACCCACTAGGTCCCTTCAAAAGGAACATGGTCTTCCATGACCCCCCGGTGAGGCTCCATGTTTGATGGGAGGGTGCAATACTTTGAGACGACCAAACAACCCGCCAACAGTGAGGCCCAGGGGCCAAGTGCACCAGGTGGCTCTATGGGCCTCACAGCCGCAGCAGCCAGCCTGCTGCCGGTCGGACGCATGCGGATGGGAGGGGGCCGCTGTTCGGAGTTCGGAGTGGGAGGGAGGCGGGAACTGGGTGTGCCGTTTTTTTGAGGGTACATGTTTTGCAGTTTTCAAGTAACACTTCTTGGCCCACATAATGAAGAAGAATGGGGTTGCAGGGGAATTGAAAGTCAAATGTTGTCACGATTGTCAGGGTAAACTATTAGTTTGAGTATTTGGCCCCTTATGTTGGCTGTGCTGGCCTTTTTTGGAATCCAAAGTCTTTCTTTGTTGTCGTTTTGGAAACGTGCCAATTCGAGTTTTGCACTTCCTTAGGGCCTGATGTCCACATGCGGCACACCCTTGGCCTGCCGAGTGATAATCCCTTGGAGCAGTCTACCCTTTTCCCAGGCAATTGCATGGAAGCTCCCAGAAGGTGTTTGAAGGACTTAGTTCCATTTGCAAGCTTCCATGGTTCTTGAGGGAATGTATGCGTCTGCAAGGTATGCGTCTGCAAAGGCATTGGAGCCACGTTTCTTGAAGACCAACCCACAACTTTGCCCTTTGCTTGGCTTCCTTAGTCTCGCGAGATTTGGCCACTCGCATTGGGTACTCTTTTCTCAAAATAGGGGACCCCCCTTTTTTGGGTGGTTTCCTTTTGGTTCTCTTGCAAAACCACCAAAACAACATCCACAAAAAGCAAACAAACAAGAAAAGGTTGCAACGCTTTTTGCTCCCCAAACATGCTTGTTTTGCCTCTTTTTGTGCGGTTTTTGTGGTATAGTAGTTTCCGCAGCACCAAAACAAGTCAACGTATCGCAGGGGATCTGACAACGGGCCGCACAGTGGCCCCCCATGCCTTTGGTTCACCGACCAGGTCGCGGGCTTCGATGGGCACCAGCTGGTGCCGGGGTCCCAAAGTCGGCCGTCTCAGCTCCAAGTTTTGGTGCAATCGGCGCGCACGAGAAAAACGGGATATCACCCGTAGAAAAGGGCTTCACCTCTTCCTGCCAGGGCCACTGGGCACTGGTAAGGTTTTTGGGCCAAAGGCGGAAAGAATCGTCGGAGTGCGCGGATGTACGCCTCGGGAGGAGTTTTGTTTCACACACCCCGCCCCCTCAAAAAAGGAGAAAAAACCAATGGTTTCCTTCTAAGTTGCAGTTAAACCAACCATACCAAGGATATCATCCAAAAACTGACATGCCAAGTTGTGATTTTTAGCTTTGCTCCCACGTCGCCTACTCAAACGCTGACCTTCCACGTGTGTGACTGAAGGGAGCCAGTGGAAATGCCGCCAGAAGATTTGGGCATGCCTCGCCCGATAGCGATGGAAGAACATGCCCAACGCTTGTGTGGTTTGAACTGGGCACCCTACTTAAAGAAGCAGCGTACGCAGGTTATAAGTGGGTATTTCCGGTATATCCCTGGCAAATGGGGAAACAACCATGGTTCTAACCCACTTACCATGGTTGTAAGTCTCCGAAGGAATTAGAACCAGGCTTTCTAACCACTTACTAGTTAACCAATCGTCCCCTTTGCGTAGTTTCCACTTTTTGGAGCCAACCCGGGCCCGGGTGGCACAGAACCCAGAAGAATGATTCAGCAAGTAGCGACTTCAACTGCTCCGCATTCTGACCCTGCTCATTACTCCCAACCCGAGTATCTATTTGGTTGGTTCGCTTGGGCCAAAGACCAACTGTTCAACTTGTTCATAATTCTAGTGGACACGAGACACGAACTGCAACGAACAGGTATCGCTTCTTTTGGGGGCGGGGTTGGCTCCGGTAGGTCTCCTCATACATATGGATGCCTCGCCCCGAGCAGTCGCTTCCCGCCGCTTCCCGCGAGGCGGAGTGCCTTTGGGGTGCCCGCGGCGGGGCTGCTGGAACTGGTGAGCCACCGACCCAGGAGGTCACGTGCGAGTGGGGGCTCTGTTGCGAAGATGAAGGTCATTTGACAAGTGTCCATTTGCTTAAGAATGTTGATTTCCCACTGTTGGTTTCAAAGGGAACCTGTCACTACCGGACTATGTTTTTTGTCTTTTTCTTTTTAAAGCAAATGGAGGCAAGGGGCCTTTTAAGAGGAGCCGTCAAACACCGCCTTCCGTTCTTGCGAGGGCAACTCCGCAGGCTGAAGGCTCTCTAAGAACCTCCCATGACGTCTACAGGGTAAGTGCTATAAGTCGTCCCGGGTTGATCTAAGTCGTCCCGTGTGAGTGTGCCCGTTGTGTTTGTGGATGTAAAGATAGTTGTCTCAAGCATGTCATTTTCTGAACTCGCATAATTCTGTGCTGTGCGCATGCAAAATGTTCATTGGGATGTGAGCACGGCTCACCCGGCGCTCGCGCGGCACTTGCGCAGAGTCGCGCGGCACTCGCGCCGGCAGCCCTTTTGTCGGGTGTTCCGGGGAACCAACAGAAAACACTATTTATGTTTGAAGGATAGGAACCCTTTAATTGCAGTGTGCCCAATAGGGTTTGCCCGGAAAAAAAAACATTCAACATGAACCCAAACCAGTGAGTTTTGAGCATGTGCGTGCAGTGTGCGGTGAATTCTTGGGGTTGGCAACATCGCCCCTCCAGTTCTGTGCCCCTTGTGTTTTGCAAGTTCCAAGCGGCTGGGGATGGCTGGGGTGACTTAACGCGACGTGGGGTGACTTACGACGCCCGCTTGTACCAGTCCCAAGGAAAATGCCACGTAGCACCGCCCTTCTGGACCCCTTTTCAAGACATACTAGATTGCCCCAAGGGGCAATGGCCAAGGTCTTGGCGCGCTGTGCCTGGAGGCGGCCGAAATTCCGAAAGGCAACATGGGTTGGAGCCTCCTGAAGTGAACAAGGGTTTGTTTTTGGAGCAGCCATTCGTGAGGTGAGATAAGATTCTAAGACCATCCCTGTTGAATAACCCCGTTCATGCGCCTCATGTCTCACATCCTGGCATGCATCGCCAGTGGTTCGGGGGACCAAAGGGTATGAGTGAACGGGGTACACCGAACATGGAAAAACAACTGATCTCCCCCGCATGCTTCACACCCAGTTCTACCAGGGCCATTGGGCAACTGGGCGTCCATGGTTCCATGTGTTGCCGGCAACGCAAGCACCCAGAACCCCAGAGGTCCCAACCATACTAAACCCGCGTTGACCCCGGATTTATGATCCTCACGGATTGATGCGTGCTGATCCCGCAACAAGTAGAAGGGACGCACCCTACAGCAGGGATTGATTGAGCCTGGGTTCCGTTAAGTGGGATCTTGAGTGAACCTCACATTAACAGAGCACAGCGCCCATTGACTTTTGGTTCCAAGATGGCCACAAATTAGAAAGTTTCAATCAGGCCTCACCGTAACATCTGTGAAGTCAGTTGTTTGCCAGGCAGAAAGAGGGGGATCCTGGCAGTGTGAGAAGTCGCGACAGAACATGTGAGATGGGATGAGCGCATTGGCAAATATGGATTTTTTTTTTTTTTGGGGGGGGGTTGCTAGCCCGCAAGATGGTGGTTTGGGTTTTCCTTCGTGGTACCTCAAAAAATTGATACGCCAGGGGTGGTTCTTTCTTGAGGCTAGCCTTTTCGGGGTGAAGCCAGGAAGCTGCCGTGAGTCCGCCCCCGGTTGGTTCGCGCTAGGTTGGCCGCGACGACGTCCGCGGCGCCTTTGCGAGCGAGGTGGTGCTCGCCACTGCGCTCAGAAGCTCCGCTTGAAACCTGACTGGTCGCGATTTTTCCGGTCCACTTGGCTCACCAACGCTGCACGGGCACAGTGGATTTGGCTTTCTTTGGACTGCGTGCTTTGGGCAGCGACCATTTCGGACTTGGTTCGGGCGATCTCCCACTCAGGACGATTGCTTTGCGGTCTCAGATATCCAAACTTTTTGCTGATTCAATCTTAATCTGGTATGGTTCTCAGAAATACACCTCTGGGCGGTTATGCATTCACACCACCCTTGAAAGCCTACTTTTGAGGATGTGTCACGTGGAGCATTCAGCTAAAACCGCGTCCTTGATCGCCCTTCGGCTCAGATCTTCATGGTGCAGCTGCTTCTGCTGGGCCGCCGCACCGACGAGGAGACGCTTCTGATGGTTCAAGTGCGATGGCTTGTGGATGCTTCCAACGGGATAAACCACCCCTGCCACGTGGCAACGTGGCACCTGACAGAGGGTGTTTCAGACCCAGAAATGCCTTCCGTTCGTGGAAGGGATTACCCACTGTTGGGTTTGAAGTCCATCAGGTGCCCTCGCCACCGAATCCAGGTAAAACGGGCCGTGCTTACTGCCCCCCGTCAACAAGGGGGTTACTCGCCCTGGTCCCATTAGGTCGTCTCAAAAATCATGTGGTGCACTAGGTTGCATGGCCCGAACCATGTACCAACGCCATCGATTTTTTCCGAAGGACCGATTGGACGCTGTGGGATCGCGATTGGCGGCGAAGTGAATTTGTACAACCCGCATATACGCACATTTACCCGCACATACACGTGTTGCGCGTTTGCTTGTGCATTTGTTTGTAATGATTGTGATTGTGATTCATGATTCTTCAACTTGTCACTTATACAACTTATACTCATACTTGTGTGATTTAGACCTTAACGCGCCCTGACTCTGATAAAGTGATCCACCTCTCTCCATTGCTAGGCGATGCCGCCTCAGGCGTGGGCGAAGCGGCGTGTCGATAGGTTGGCACCCCACAAAACCAGTCTCAATGACACATACCCGGGACCTACTTAAAGGGGCGATCGAATACCTAGTGGGCAGGTAACAACCATGCTTATACTGCCTGTTGATTGTGGGTTTGGGAACGTGCCCACCAGTTGATTTTGTCACCCTCAAAGTGGTGAACCCCCTTTTGGTTGGCATTGGCAGGGAAACCACCAGTGCGAAAATGTCATTTGCGCACTGTGGCTATGGTCTCTCAAGCGGATAACTCAACTTGATTCCAAGGCTCCCCATTTGTTGGACAAATCCACGCTGCTTTGCCCAGGACAACGTGACTCCGGTGGGCCTTGAGCGAAGCTGGGCTCAAGATTGTTGGGGTCGCTGATGGTCGCTGTGGCCAGAGCCGGATAGCCAGTGCAGTGTGTTGGTTGGCCAAGAAGAAAACTAACGCGAGTCGCCGACCATCCAAACGATCGGGCTGGCGTTCCTTGGACTTGTTGGTCTCAGTCAACTTGACTGATCACTTCTGCTTTGGCAGGGCCTTTGGTTGAATACGGCACCATGGGCAAGTCAGACCCTTGATTCTCAGAAAGTCAGGCCCACCCCCTCAACAATGGCGAGGACCCTTGGAATGCGTCTCATCACTCCATTTTCCCTATGGTTTTGCAGGCTCGGCAAATGGAAGGAACCTGCACCTTCCCCTCCCCTGAGATAGGAACTGGTGAATGCCAACTCAATATTGTAAGTACACCAACCTCAAAAGCTCGAACTTAACCAACCGTACTCAACAAACCGTACACAACCGCACCAACCGTGCCAGCCGTACTCCACATGGGGGTTGCTCAAAATAGGGGACCCGTTGTTGGATGGTGTTCTTTTCGGCACACCCACCTAGCCTGGCGGAATCGGACACCCATGTCGGACCCTTGGACAGCGTCTCATCGCGCCATTTTTCCTAGTCAAACCGCGCACAACCGCACCGACCGAACCAACCCGTACGTACTCGAATAAATGACCCTTCCACTGCACTGGCATGGCACCTGACAAGCTCCCCCCTCCCCACACACCCCTACCCCCCAGCCCCCCACCCCCCCTCCCCCCTCCCCCTCCCTACAGGGGTTTTCCAGGAACTTGCTCCCAGAGACGCTTGGCGAAGTGGGGAAGCGAATCCGAAGTGAGGACAGCTTCTGGCGTTTGGCCTGCTGGCCACGAGCGAGCGGACGCCCAGTGAACTGCAAGACAGCTGGACTTCCCTGCAAAAGAAATGGGTCGCGCGGCTTCAAGGACATTTAGTTCATAAAGCACCGTAAACTGGAAAGAGAGGGTGGTGAGATAGGGGGATCCCAAAATGCAGGAATTACCAGGTTGGTGTTCCTTACCCAGGCGGAAAAGGGTACCCTCCCAACAATCTGCATGGCTTGGCCAGAAATGCCACCAGCTCCGATGGGTTGCGACGGAACGTCACATGCAAGCTCATGCGTGCAAATTGTGATGAATAGCAGTTTTTGTGTGAATTCCGCCAGTGACGGAAAGACGTGCGACTCATGGTAAGGGGACATGTTCAACCATGCTTTGGTTATTTAGGTCGTCGAGGCCTTGCGAGCTGTTGCATTTGGGTATGTTCAAAATAGGGTGACCACCGAAGTTGTGGCTTTCCTTGCAGGCTTCCCTTTCAACCAACCCCCAAAAGGGTACCCCAAAAAAAGCACTCATTTGGATGCATCCAACATGCCACGTCTTCGGGCCTTTCGCACGAGGCCGCGATCCTTCTCCCTGAAGAGGCTCTGGTCTTGGAGAGCGGGGGTGGGGCAAGTTGGCGCATCAACCCGATTCAACCACCCCATTTTTGTTATTTATGTTTTGTTGTTGTTCTTTTTTGTGAGGGTCCCTTTTTAGATTGGCTAACGGGAGACCAAAAGAACAAGCGTTTTTCCCCAACAGCTGAAAGCTTTGGGGTCTCAGCCCAGATAGGCTCCGGGGTGGTCCGGGGCGGCCCTCAGGTAAGGTTCCACGAGGGTTCCACCAGGGTTCCACCAGGGTTCCGTGCGGGTTCCACGGGACTAAAAAGAGCACCGCATGCTGTTGGGGATATCACCAGAACTTATTTTTTTGTGGGACCCAACACATCTTGACACATACCCAAATGAACCACAAAATGAGGGCAAGAGGTTGGCCTTTTGCCTGGGGCTCCCTGTTTCTTCTTTGAAGGGTGGTTTCAAACATCGTCTTGTAGGGCTTTTTAAGCTGAGTGAGTTTCCTTTGGGTGTGATGCTGGAGGGGAAATGCAGGGAACCCTGTGGCGGCTTTTGCTCCAAATGCATGACACCCTTCCTTGGCGTAGGGGCACGCCTCTTCATCTTACGGTGGCAACAGGCAAACCCTGCCCTTATAACATGAAGGTTCTATTGGTGCATTTCATAATCATGCAGGCCGTGGATGTGGTGGGAGTGTGTCCATGACAGAACCCCACGCAATCTCTTGCAACGTCGGAGTGAACTGCGCAGCTGCTTTTGTCAGTGTTTCTCGCAGTGTGGGTCACTCTTTGCACCCTTTTCTACGACCCATTGTGCCTTTTTCACGGGGCAGCAGGCTGTCCGCACTGTCATTCGCATGAGGCAAGCTAAGCCCTCTGGACACCTCCCACAGAGCATCCTCTGTACCCGAGGGCTGGCAATACGTCGGCAAGCTGCTAGACTTGAACCTGTGAGGCGGCTGGATGTTTGTCGTGGGCAGTGGGCCAACAGCTGGGGGCCGAATCGCTTTTGTTATTTTTCGGGGGGACTTCTTGCAGAGTCGACATCTTAGGCAACCCGAGTTCGTGTATGTGTCCTGTGCAGGGCGCAATGTGCATTAAAAAGCTTGCCCTGAGCCAGTTTCAAAGGATCAACACGAGAGGAAAATAGAGAAACGGGAGCCAACGTCCCACTCTTGTCACTAACTTCGGCCAGGGTCAAAAGCAGGAGATGATGTCTTTTTTGGGTGGCTCTCTTTTGGGGGTCCACGCGAATTTGCAGAGGCGTGGACGTATGCTGAGGGCCATTGGGCAGCTTGCCGCAAAGTTCATGCGTCCCCTTTGATTTCCTAAGGGACAGCCACACAGATGGTCCCCTCCAAGAAAGACAGAGCCCTGAGTTCAGACTTTCCGCGGCTCCCCGGTCCCAGAGCGGTTGATTTTGGGCTGTCTTCTGAATATGCTGCAGTAGCCACACGGTGGCCGTTTTTCCATGGCAGGTGCGTGCATGTTCGCACCTTGCAGGAGCAGCCTTTGAGTGCTTGCCACTTGCCCGGTCGGAATGGCGACATTGTTTACTACGCTGGAATCAAGTTGGTTGAGTTGTCCCCTGCAGGGTTGTATGCTTAGTTTTCTTCTGGGATTGTATCGGCAATGACCAGCGTGTGAAGCACATCATCTCCCAAATAATAAGAAAGCAACACATTTGTCATCTCCATGAGCGCCGAATTTTCTCCAACATGAAAGAATGATGAGGGGGGCGGCGCAACAAATACCGATGTTTCACTTGCTTCCCGTTCTCCGATTTGCCAGACAGCTGTGGAGCTGCGGCTGGGGAAAGGGTATGGTCCGTAAAATGCTGCGCGCTCGTCTGGTGTGTTTGTCAGTGTGTGTGTGTGTATGATTGGGTGCAAGTACCCTAGTTGTGGAGGGGGCGAAGAGAGGAAGAGAGAGGGAGAGCGAGGGCGGATCTTTGCATCCGTGCTGTTGCTTGGCTCATAGCAGTGGAACGAAGCTCGGCAAGGTGCCAGAACTTGTGGAAATGGCAAAAGGCCCAGCGCACCGGCAGAACATCAGCACCCACAGAACCTGGCAGGCGCCATGGCAAGCAGCAAGACGCACTGGACACCAAACCTGCACGGGCTGAGGACTTCAGTGAATCAGCCAGTCCCAAAGCGGACTGTGCGCGTCCACCGCCTGCCGATGTCAAAGGGGAGCCGCTTTGCAGGGATCCCCAGGAGTGCGAACGTGGGGGCCCAAGCAATGAAGGCTCTGAGAGTTTGTATTTATTTATTATCTATTAGTTTGTTTTTCTCGCGCAGATGTTCCGGCAGACAAAGGCCATTTGTTCGAAAGCTGTCCAGCTGGAGGAAGTCATGCACTTGGAAGCCTCGCTTAGGCGGGTCTACTCGCTTGCCTTGCGGCAGGGGCACCTGGGTGCAACGCTGCGAGTCCTTAGGCGTTTCGCGTGTTCAGTCCATTTGGTTGCTGCCCCAAGAGCCAAGGGCCAAGGGCATCCTGAGGCCTGCGTTGGAAAGTCATTCAGGGACCCGGTGGTCGAGCAGCACGCTTGAAAGAAGTGTCGGGGTTTCACCGCGGGTCACCAGTTCGAGGGACTTTCATGGCCTGGTAGCCATCTTCATTGGCAAAGCAGTTTTGCAGGTTGCTGCCTCAGCCCAAGAGGCCAATCTGGGCGAGTCACACCGATCTCCCACTGGAGGTTGCGACCTGACCCACGAAGGTCCCTTTCGGGACCTTTTCGGGGTTGATGATTTGTCATATTCACCCACGTCAACTTCATTTTTGAATTACTATCACTTGGCTCCCCTCTTTGAATTACGATCAACCTGCCGGCTCTGCCCAATGTCATGCCTCCCATTGCCGTTCGTTTTTGCCAGCTCCGGAGGTGCTGCTTTGTCCCAGGCCAGATTGAACGCGGGGGGGGGGGTTCAGGCAGCGTGAGGGACGAGCAAGCTAGATCTTGCTGATGCTAATGTGTACCTACGCTAGAGGTAGCTTGCAGCATTCTGTAGCTCTGCAGCTCAGTTTGAGAACTTTTGGAGCCGTGATTTCACGGCGGTTGTCGTAGGTTTGAAACCACGAGCACGAGTTAATGCGATGTACAAGTACAGATACCTCACTGTGGACTGGAACAAGCTCACCCGTCCTGAATGTATTGTGGCTGTGTCATGCAGGTATGGGTTTCTTATGACATTTGCTAGGGTACTGTAGTGCAATTTGCTTATGCCTACAAATTCAGAACGTGTGCGGAGGTAGTGTGTTTGTTTTTGTGCCTGCGGATGCTTTGCAAGTGCGCTTTTTTCATGCATTTACTTGCTTGCTAGCTGCACGGGGCTTCCACTACCTGGGTTACATGATCATCCACATGTGATCATCAAGCCATGAAGGGTTCCTCCACACTCTCAAAGGGACAGAATCGAACTATTTGCCCGATCTTTGGAGCTGCTTCGCTCAATTTTGCTATATGTATGAAGCCTGCAATAGGAAGCAGGGTCAATACAGAGTCTTACATGCAGGGCACCCCATTGCTACGCAGCCACGGCACCTGTCCCCCGCCGGCCGCTCGGCTCTTGGCTTGCTGAGTAGTTAGGGTCGCTTGGGGTCCGGCGATAGGCCGACGCTCAAGAGGGGCGGGCACATTCGGCCCGCCACAGGCTGCTCAAGGACCGAAGGGCTGGCAGCGCCTGACTTTGATAGAAATGGCGCAGATGTCAAATGTGCGTTCAATTATCTTGGATGGCTCGTCTAGCGTGCTGATCCAGTGATGATATGAGTGGGTACCTGGGAGTCGGTAGCGGACGGTTGGCCCGAGCTTCCTGCCTCCCCACCCGCGTCTTGAAAGAGATTGAAAGATCAGGTGCACAAATGTTGGGCCTTTGGCAGCAGTGAACCCTTGGTTGGTTGGAGGGGGCGGGGGAATCTGGGGCTCGTAAGGGTGTCCGATTTCTAGCCCCTCTACATAACATAGCATATCATGCCATAGCATAAGATTACGTACATGCATAACAGCACATAACACAACACAACACAACGCAACACAACACAACACAACATAACTAACATGCATGCATAGTATACATACATATATACAAACCGTTTCCTCAACTGCCCCGGGCTCGACTCCTCGAGGATTCGTGCGGCGAGGGACGCGCTTCGGCGCGCCATGGACACAGGCTACTTGCAGCAGATCGGCCTAGACACCCGGACCGCGCCTGTGGCCGTCCTGTCCAGGAGATGGTCGGGCTTTTCCAGCCTTTCTCCAAGGAAGCTCATGGGTTCCGGAACCTTCCCCGGGTTCCATGTGAAGGCCCAGCTTCTGCGTTAGGCCAGCTTCCGCGCTCAGCTCCCAATTTGTTTCCATGTTTCCAGCAGGACCGCGGCCTCGGGCATGCCTGCTGCAGCCGGAGCGAGCGCGGCGGGCGCGGCGGGCGCGGCAAGCCCAGCAAAGGCGCCGACAGCCGGAGAGAGTTGGTCGGTTTTGGGGAGGTTCGTTGTATCTGCTCAAGTTGCTGGTTCTTTGTGTTTGCTGCTTGGGTTTTGGTTGTTGCTTGTGGTTCTTGGTGTCTTGAAAGCGTTTCTGGTTTTCGGTCGGCTGGTTGTCTTGTTGTTTTGTTGCTCGAGCGCGAGCCCGGGAGCTGCGCCACCAAAGGGGTTCGCGTTGGCTGCTGCCGAGGCGGCGGCGTCCGACTTTGGCAGCGACCTGCGGGGCAAGGGCTTTGACAGGAGACCATTTTTTTTTGTCCCCCCAGTCTTGCTGTTTTTTGTTTGTTTTTTCCTGTTTTCTGGGGGAGGTCGTTTTTTTTGGGGGGGGAGGGGGGGGTGGGGGGGGGGGGTGCGTTAAGATGGCCTTTGGGGGCAGGTATGGGGCAGGCTCTGTCCTAAAACATGTTTGGCATTTGTCATGTCCATGTTTGGATTAACAACCAGTTCACTTAGAAACCAAACCCACCCTGCGTAGAGGTTCCTCTATAATTTCGCATGCTTTGGGAATTGAAATGGCTTGGTGTCCTTTTCGTCAAATTTTAGTTTATCTGGGGTAGCGAGTTTGCCTGCCATTTTGCATGGATGCTTAGAGCCAGCCGCCAAGGAAAGCTTACGTAACAAGAATACGCAGGGGTTGGCAAGACTTCCTTGGATGTGCAAGGGACAGAATGCCTTGTGCAGTGCAAAGGGCCATCGGCCATGAACAAGACAGCACGTTTGGCAAATGATAAATAAAGCCAAACAAGCAAGCAGGCAGGCATGCAGGCAAGCAAGCGGAGGCAATCAGAGGCAAAGCAGGCACGCATGCAAGCAATCAAGCACAGTCGGTTTTGGCAGATTAATTGCTTTTCTGTGCTGTAGTGAACTCAAGCCTTCCTAATTCCCCCAAAAAAGGGAAGCCAGTGCACATTTCAAAGCAGCTGCCAAGACAGGTGCAGGAACTCGGGCACCGCAAAATGGCTCACTTGCGGAGGAGTCTCTTATTGGCTGTTCTTAGCACAAGTTTCGGACTTTGTATGTAAATACTTTTGTGTACAGATATTTGGTAGGTGGCCTTAGTTCAATTCATGCTCTTTCTTGTGCAGCAGGAGGCGTTTTTACACCTCGGTCTACGCACCTGAGCGTGGGCAACCTTTCCACCAAGTTGCAACAGGTCAGCCTAAGTCTCAACACAACCGGGCACAATTGACTTTTTCATGACTGCATGCACTTTGTGGTTGCTATGTTGTTCACTCCTCGCCTGCTTAGTGCGGGGGCCGAGTCCGGCTATTGTTTTGCTGCGGTTTCCTGTGAGGAGTGCCGTGGTCCGCGGCAACCACCCACCCTGGCTGGTGCCAAACGAAGCTCGGCCTATATTACCTACAACTTTGGATGCTTATTTGGCCATGGTCAAAAGCCCACTAAAATAGACCAAAATGGGTGGTGAGCCTACCCCAAAATGGGATCCCATTGGTTTTGACAACCACGGCCATTTGTTTTCCGCGGTGGCCCCCTTTTCCTTGTGGGTTTTCACGGGCCAGAAGCCCTGTCACGGTGCGACACGACGCCCAGGCCGGCCAGGACACAGGCCTGCAGGCAGGTGGGCACTGGAAAGCCAAACACGCGGCGAGGGAGCGAGGGAGCCAAGTGTTCTGCCCATTTGGCGAGCTCACCGATTCAGATGTAAACAGCTTATTCCGACCATGAAGATCCTTGGGGATGCCTAACTCGAGTTGGTTTGGTGAACTTAGTTTTCGCATGCATGATGCCCATAGACGCATTTTAAGAGGGAGAGGGAGAGAGAGGGAGAGAGAGAGAGAGAGATATAGCATGCATTTAAACATGCCAATGAACCATATTCTCCAAGCCTTACCAATACATGGCTTATTCTGTCCCAGCATTGTTACGGATACAACTTTCATGGTCCGCTTGTTCAGTTTCAGCGTTGCAAGCAGTCATTTGACTGATTGAATCCACGCAAAGAGTCATGTGAGCCACCCGGCAGCCTGCAGCAGTGTGCGGGTCATGAGAGATGAACATGAAGCCTCCGCAAAGGTTGAAGATTGGAATCAATTATAGATTATTGATGTCGGAGTTTGTTGTGTGAAATATGCTTGAATTCCGTCGTGAAAGC